TTTAATAATTATATATATATATAATATATATATATTTTAGGTTCATAAAAAATCTTATTTTTTTGTCATAATGTATATTAACATTAAAAATTTATTTTTGTACATGTTATTAAAAATTTGAATGTTGTAAATTAAGTTTTTTTTATTATTGAAAAGAATGTTCTTCTTCTGGATTTAATGAGCATTCGATGTTCTGTTGAGTTACAAAAACATTTTGAGCTTTTGTTGCTATATTTCCCTATTATGAAAAAATATTTACATTTAATGATTCAATAAATTCCATAAATTTAATAAATTGTATTTTATTTATATTAATATATTATACATACCTGAGTTACTGTAGTAGTAGTATGACTACCACTAGACATACAAACAACTACTAATTTTGGTGTATTACTTTGTATATGAGTTTTTTGTTGAGTAACATTAGTTTGGGCTATTTTAACTTGTTGTTGCGATTGTTGCTGTTGTTGTTGTTGAGATTGTTGTTGTATTGCATTACTATTAATATTTGTAGCTGTTGGCGTTTGAGATCGAGATTGTAAAATAACGAATTTTTGTCCTCCAGCTGTGGTAGTTCCACCAGCAGTTCTACTTGTACCAAGCATAATTGTGCGTCCAGCTTGTTGCCCAGGACTAGAATTTGTTACTTCAATAAAAAGAAAAAATAAAATCATTATTTACATTTAAAATAAATACATATTTCTAACTTCATGTTGATAGGAATAATATTACCAGCTTGTACAATAGTTTTTCCAGTACATGTAGGACCTTGTTGATTTGCTGTTAAAGCTGTAGTTGTAGATGCAGTTGTTGCTAAAGTAGCTGGTTGCGTACGAGCTTTTGCAACGGCTGCACACAATGCAGGACCTATATAACCATAATCTTGTTTGTAATCTTCTACATAATCTGGAGGAGATCGTATTGTTTTTAAGACAGGAGCTACCGATTTCTGCAAATTGTATCGCGTATTTTTCTATTATTTTTTATAAACATACACATTTTTATATAAACATATTATATAACATAATAAAATTTATATCGATAAAAAATAATACTCACTACAAGTAGAGTTTTTATATGACCTGCTCCATTTTTATCTACACTTGATAAAGTAGGCCCTTCGATACATGATTCAATACGTTCTGAAATAGATTTAATTTTAGGAATAACTAATGCTTTAATAACTTCTGGTCCTAATTCACATAATCCCTCAATTGCTCCATAAAGTGATGCCAATGGAGTCTAAAAAATACATTATTATATTATTTCATTTCTAGCTTTTTTTTATAAGTTTTAAAATTATACCTGACTATTTTTTGCCAAAGCTTGACTAAACATTCTAGTTACTCTGGTTTGTACATTATTGGTAGAGGTATTAAAATTTTTACAAATTTGAGCCATAAGACGTGATGCAAAATCACGAAGTGCCCAATGATTATCCACTTCTGGTCTCATACATAATTGACGCGAAACAATACATGTCGCAATAGATGGTATTAATTCATGTAACTATAAATTGAAATATAAAATTAATAAATGTAAAAAACGTGAATATGCACATATATACATCCCATTTCTCTATTGTATATTAATTAATACATACATATTTCTCTAAATAGAGACTTGGATTATCCAAAAGAGCTTTAACCATTCGCATTAAATAAATTAAAAGAGCAAGATTATTTTGTACTACATTAACGCGTACGCCTTCTGCAATAAATGTACACATTCGTGCTAACATTTCATGTAAACCAGGATCAGCTGAGAGGGATTGCAATGCTTCTGCTCTACGCGCTTCATCAGATCCAACACAAGCTTCAGTAATTTCTTTATAATATAATTGTTGTTCAACACTCAATTCATGAGTGGCCAATTGTTTAACATGAACTGTTTCTACATTGCGTAATTTCTGACTTTTACCTCCTCCACCTGGCTTTCCAACACCAATGTTTTGACTTTTGTTTGTAAGTTTACTTGTTGGATCAACACTTTCTAGTTTCTGAACATCTATTATATTATTAATTAATTAATATTAGTGTTATAAAGAAAAAGAAATTTTTATATTATTTTATATTTTATATTATTAATACCTTTAGAAACAGGAGGTGGATTTTCTGGTATCGTAGGTTGAACACCATCTATACAAAGCCAATGAGCGCGTAATGTAATTTCTAAGGGCAATTTAGGCCATGTTTGTCCACCAGACATTGATATAACTTCATTAAGATCGATTTCTTTTTCTTCTACAAAATGTAATTCACGACCACCACCAGAGGCAAAACGAAATGGTATATGATCTTTGGCAAAAAATCCATATGTAGGTTCAATATTTTTTATTTTCAAAGCATGATCTATATCATGTGTTGTCATTCGTTGACGTTTTCCATGTCTCATAAACTTAGCAGCATCCTTTATATAATGTTAAGAATTTCAATTATAGAAATTTAATTCATTTAAAAATAAAAAAATTATAATTATTTTTTATAATTTAAAAATATACAAACCTGAATAATTCCTTAAGTCTATAACTTACATCTTCGGCTAGATCTTTTGCTGCTTCATCTGGGAAATTTCCAACACCTATACTTTCTGCAATTACTTTTATTGATTCTTGGGATAATGTAGTTCCATAAATAGACTCGCTTTCATTCATCTTTAAATCAATAATAAATACTGCTTACTGAAAATTTTATATTTGATATAAGTTTCATGAACATAATTAATAAATTATAAATACAATTTAATAATTATTTTACATTCAATTTTAATATTTATATTAATTATTACAAAATACAATATTATTTAGATAATTATGATAATTTTGAAAAATCAATAAAAACTTACCAAATAAAAATCTTTTAAGAAATTATAAAAATTGCTTTGTAATTATTCATATAAGAAGTTGTTTTATTATTTTAACATAGATATTGATCAAATCACTATTTGTAGTTCCAATATTTATTCTAATTATTTGTTTACCCATATGACATGAATTTGTATAAAAATGATTATAAAAAATATATAATATTCTTATATTTTTTGTTTATTATGATAAAATATCTCGTTCTTACTTATAATACTATGTAATTAAACTACAGATTTAATAAAATAATTTAATAGAATATTAAAAAAATTAACAATAATAAAAAAAATACAATCACAATTGATAATACGCACTAAAGATTTGATCTTTTTTTTATAATTCTTCATACATGTATTCGTAAATTATATTTATCTGTATACAAAAAAATTTATGTTATAAAATAAATTTTTTGTACTATAGACAAGATACAACAAAGCTAACATTCAATGTATTTTATTGTATACAATATGACATATCCGACGCTAGTTTTGGCAGAAACTTGATCACGATATCCCTCTGCCTAATCAAACAGTGGGGATAAAGTGACGTCACATATTTTGCTCTTGCAGCGAATTTCCGTAGGAGAATTGAACCATTTTTAAAAATAATAAGATAATAAAGATAGAAAATAACGTATACTTACTCGTTCGTCCAACACTATAATATGTATATATATATACGTATGCGTGCGTGCGGCTGTGGAATTGAATATTACACCATAAATAATATGTAATCTAGACATGATGCGTATTGTATTTTTGTACGATATTTCAGAAATTCAGATTTTCATTACATTATGTATCATTCTTAATATTATTAATATAGTAAAAAATAAAATTATATTATTTATAAGAAACATACAATGTATTGTTTCATATTAAATTTTTTTTTCTTTAACTTGTTTGTTTGGTTATAAATGCATTTATCTAAAGAAATAATTTTTAATAATACTTAGTATATCTATTAGTAAAAAATTTAAATCAATTTGATAGAAATATTTATTAATTAATTATTAATAATTGTTCGTTCACTATATTTAAGAATTATTTAAGAATGAGTTGAATTGAAATATACATGTGTTCGATTTATAAACAACAGTAATAAAAATTGAATTTGGACGTGAAAAACATAAGTTCATTAGTTTATATTAATATTTTTTTAAATTATTAGAGTCGTAAATTTTTTTAATATAAATATGTATTCTTGTGATTTGACAAAATGGTCAATCTTTAGTTTATTAGAATCGAAATTTATTTCGAACATCCATATGGCTGTTGTCTATGGTAATAATTACTTTTTGATAGCTATTTTTTTATTTATTTTTTTAATTATTTCTTTTTTGCACAATATTATATATATAACTATAATGTTATTTATTATTTTTATTTACAGGTAACATTGGCAACGAAGCATTAATTGTAACAAATGATAAAATGGTATATGCTGTTGGAAGTAATACTTCTGGATGTCTTGGAACTGGTGATACTCAGAGTACTCTTTATCCAAAGAAAATTAAAGAATTATGTGGTAAAGATATAAAAACTTTTGCATATGGTAAAGGTCCACATGTTTTAGCACTCACAAAGGAAGGAAAAGTATTTAAAATTTATCCAACTATATAAAAAAAATAATAAATATATTAATATTATATTGTTTAATATTAATATAATTTATATGAAAGGTATACTCATGGGGACAGAATTGTCATTATGAATTAGGAAATACTTTTGGCAGTCAAGCTTTAACCCCAGCAATAATAACAAATTTATGTAATGAATTTATTGTTGATGTAGCTTGTGGAAGTCATCATTCTCTTGCATTAACAAATGATGGAGAGGTAAAATACAAATAATAATTTAATTACAGCTATTTTTTTTTGATATAATGTAATATATAATATTTGTTTTAGGTATATGCATGGGGTCAAAATACATCAGGACAAGTAGGTTGTCATGATATAACAACATTAGTACAAGATATACCTAGAAAATTAAATTTTACATTAACTGGCAAAAAAGTTATTTGCATTAGTTGTGGAGACTCATTTAGTGTTGTAGTCACAAATAATGGAGAAGTTTATAGTTGGGGTCGTAATGATGTTGGTCAATTAGGAATTGAAAATAATAATAATGATCAATTTCATCCATGCAGAATAACAGCACTTACAAAAGTAGTAATAGGTGATATTAAATTCTTTTTTTGATATTAAAATATGAATATTTTTAATTTAATTGTTATTTAATTATTATTTTAATTATTATTAATTGTATTTATTTTGATTTATAGAAAAAGTAGTTTGTGGTAGTATACATACTTTAGCATTAAGTGATGAAGGTGTTCTTTATGTTTGGGGAGCTAATAATTACGGACAACTAGGTCTTACTACAGTTTTACTTAATACTAATATTTGGAAACCAACAAAGGTAAAAATATATTTTATAAATATACTCTTTAAAAAAAATTGATAAATATTTTTGTGCAGCTAGAAGTACCAGAAATGAGAAGAGTGCTAGATATAGCAACATCATATTATAATTATATAAGTATTGCTTTATGTGAAGGCAATCGGATATTTATGTGGGGTCAATGTCTAGGCCAAAATGTTAAAGTTCCAACACTTACTCCACTAAAATGTTTGTATGATGTTTTTGCATTTTACGCACTTCCAGCTGTTATGCATCAGCCCCTTATTTTTCACAGTGACGAAGAATCAAACTTAATAGACAGTTTAAAAGAAGCTTTTGATGATCCAGTATGTATATTTTATGAATAATAACATGTTTGTTAATTTTACCACTTTTTGATGTCATCTCTTGCTGCATGTTAAAGACCACTAGTGATCTTATTATTCAAGTTCATGGAATTCCTATTCATGTACACAAAGCAATTTTGAAGATACGTTGTCATTACTTCAGAACAATGTTTCAAGAACATTGGGCAGAAAATAGTCAAAGGTAAATCAATTTTCCAAATATGTATTTATATTTTTTAACTAATATAATATAATATAACTAATATAATTAACTAATATAATTAACTAAACTAATATAATTAATTATACATTATAGTGTTATACATCATGAACAATTTTCGTATGACGTGTATAAAACTTTTTTGAAATATTTATACACCAATGAAATTGATCCATTTCTAGATCCACTCAATGCATTAGGTAAATATTTTCATTTCTTATTGGAAAAAAATATATATAATATATATTGAATAATATATTTTATGAATTATATTGTTTTTTCATAGAACTTTTAGATTTAGCTAATGCTTATTCTGAAAATCAATTAAAAAGATATTGCATACAAATAATAAATAAAGGGATTACAGTCACTAATGTAATCGTTTTGTACAATACATCTATCCAATATAATGCTAAGGTAAATAATATTTTTTTTATAATTTTTTACATAAAATATCATTAAACTATTTTATATGTCATATATTTCTAGGAATTAGAAGAATATTGTTTTAAATTTGCATTAAATCACATGACTGCAGTGGTACAGACAGCAGATTTTGCTAAACTAGATGAAAGTACAGTTAAAACCTTTATAATTAAAGCTGCTCAAGCCGGTGCTTTTAAAACCTAGCTCAAAATATGCATATTTACAGATCCAAAGAAATCAATTGTGATACTTTGATACGAATAATTCACTTGTTATATTACAAGATTAAATAGATTTTGTTATTAAATATCAGTGTTTCTTAAAAAGATGATGAAAATATTTTTAATATGTAAATTTTGTAATATTGCCTAGCTATTAGAAAATTGTTAATAATTATTTCTATTTGTTAATAATTATTTCTACTATTATTAATTTACTATATAAGTAATCATATTACACTACTTTGTAATTAAAAATTACAATAGAATTCGTGAAAAGATATTTTTTTTATTAATTGTGCATTTTTTACTGCGTTTTATTCATTTTTATATAAATTATAGAATTATACAATTATTACTATTTTTTTTTTTTTAATATATTTCGAATCATTGCAAATATAAATATAAGGAAATATATATATATATATAAATAAAGAGATTAAAGTATATAAATATTTGAAAAAAAAATATAGAATATATATATATACATATATATAAATATATCTTTATCATAAACATAATAATATATATAATGCGAATGTAGTAAGAGTGTATAATCAATATATAACGAATAATTAATATATTTCTTTTTTCCATTTAATAATGCCTCAGGAGTATTAAATTTTATAATTTTATAGCGCATATTTATATTTAATATTACCGATTCAATTCAAAATAAGACAAAATTGATATAATAATGCAATTAAATTTAAATGTATATGAAATATTGCATTATATACTAGAATATATTATGTTTTATGAAATAATTGTCATTGTAAAATCAAAAATGTGATATTTATATTTTTTATATTAAAAATTAAGACTCATTATAGTTTTGAAAAAGAAATAATAAAAATGTATTCAAGTAGATATTGCGTACTTCATCAATGATTATATATTAAAAACAAAAAAAAAAATAATGGAAGAAGATAGAGATAAAAAAAAAATATTGAAATTAGCGCCATCTAAAGAATGCCACAAATGAAACATGTAAAGTTAAATTAAAAATAGAAAATATTAAAGAAAGAATAAAGATAGAATAAGAATTGATCATTACCACTATCTTTCAAGCATTTTTAAAAACATCTTTTTAAAAATAAAATAAAATAAAACATTTTTCTAAAAATATTCAAAAAATAATCATCCTTTATCTTATCTTATTTTAAAGAAATGTCTTTGATATTCAAGAGATGATAATGATTAATTCTTACTCTATCTCTATTCTTTTCTCATTATTTTTTATCCTTATTTTATTTGTTTCATCTGCCGCACTCAACAGATGGCTCTGATTTAAATATTTTTACTCTATTTCTGTCTTTCTCTCATTATTTTCTTTCCTTGTGTATAAATTAGATCTATCATACTCCCTTAGTATTATTAATATTTGTAAATAAAAATTAAAAGACTTTGATAGCATTAATAATAATGTAATAAATGATGATGCTAATGATGATAAAAAGTATTTTTGCTTAACAAGTGTATTTATACATAAAAAAATTTAATTTTATAAATATATTTATGTAAATATTAAAATCATGTTTGTTACAAATTTGTTTTTTAGTAAGAATAAATTAAGTTTTTAAAATATAAAATGTGATTAAATATAATTATTAATAAAAACATATTAATAAAAATCTTTGTTTATACATAATATAATAATATTATCAACTGATTTATTATTAATTGATTATTTTTTATTGTGGTATTAGAATATTAAAAAAATATTTAAAAAAAAGAATGAAAAAAGATGTGATGTAGATGATTAAAAAAAGGATTTGATAAAAATTAAAATTAAAAAAGGTAAAAACTAGAATAATTAATAAATTTCTATTTAAGACTGATAATTAATAAATATTTTTTAGGATAAATGTAAAAATGTCTTGGGATTTGAAGAATT